ACCATTATCTCCGGAGTTTACATTAGCCCCGCGGCGGGGGATCCTGAGCTCCGAAGCACATGGGCTGGGGCTTGGGGGGCCCCAGATGGTAGCCGTGCAAAATGGAGGCGACTTTGGGACTTGTTTACACTGCGCAGCAAATGGCTGCTGGCGCTCCCGACTGCGCGATTGTGAAAATCTCCCCGGGGCGCAGGGCAGCTTTGCTGAGATGACGCAACTCAGAGTCCTGCGGGCGGGCGCGGGAGGGGCCCGGCCCGTCGGCGTAGCTCGCCCTGCCCGGTTGTGGGCCAACTACAGAAGGTTTCTGGCTTCTTGAGAACGCCCTAGAATTTCCGATTTTTGCTACAGATTGCAAAATAGAAAGGGGGAAGCTGAAGCGGTCGGAGTTAGAAGTGGGAAGTAAAACTTGACGGGGAGGTAGGATTGGATTGGTGAGACTTTGTCCTTGTCTTAAGATAATTTAAGGACAAAAGACGAACTAAGTGGAATTTTGGGTTGATAACCAACATTGCCCAAGGAGGCCCGTTTAAGTAATCTCTTCTTTTTTTGATTGTGAGGGTGGAGCTTTTGAGCTGCCCTCACTAGTGGCTGGTTTGGACCACTTGACTGGTATAAGGATCAGATTGGGGAGGGCAATGGCAGCATCCCAGGTGGGCACTACTCTGGCTGTGAGCCTTGGCTTTCAGTTGGTGGGGCTGAAGCTCATGGTCCTGTTAGTAAAGTCCAGCACTGCTAACCAACCCATTTTCTCCAGTTCCAGGGTCTCCCTTAACTGCTGTAGTAACCTGGGTCCAGGGCCTCAGTGGTGCTCCTGATGTCCCTCACCCACCCCTGAAGATCCCAGGTGGGCGAGGGAATAGTCAGAGGGATCACAATCTTTCAGCTAATTTATTTTACTCTGTAAGTATCTGGGTCTCTGGGCTCCCTACACATTGGGGAGGTGGGGTGGGCTGGGCTGGGCTGGCCAGGCCAGGCCAGACCTGCAGCCCCTACTTCTGAGCAGTGGAGATTTCTTGTCCACCTGCTGTGTAGTAGGAATTCTATCTGCATCATTTTATTGAATCCTCATAAACTGCGGTGCAAGCTGCATCCCAGGCCCTTCTTGAGCCACAAGTAGCCCTTGGCAAACTCCTGTTTGCACCCCAGCCTGGGGCTCCTGGCCTGAGCCACCTTCCTCAGAGGTCTGGGCTGCTCTGCATGTGGAAGACATCATTGCAGGGGGCTGGGTGACTGGTTGATTTGGTGCTTTTCTGAGTTTTCCAAATTGTGGGATCAAGGAGGAAGATCCCCAGCCTGTGAGAGTTGGTGCCTAAGGTGTGAACTAGGTGCTTTTCTTGCTCAGGATAATAGGCTGAATGTAACAGAGGAACTAACGTCTAATAACAAGACGAGAATTCTCAATGTCCAGACCAGGCTCACAGAAGCCAAACATGTTAACTGGAGAGCGGTGCTGAGCAGCAGCTGCCTCTACATCGAGATCCCAGGCGGTGCTCTGCCGGAGGGGAGCAAAGACAGGTGAGGGCCATCCTGTCGAGTCCTCACTCCCAGGGGAGGAGGAAGCGTCGGGCCAGCCATGTCATTTTGGGGGTGAAGTTTCCCTTTTTGAGTAGCGGACTAGCAATTCTTGGGATGTTCCTCCCTGGGGACACTGAGCCATGTTTGAGGACATCTGTGGTTGTCACAACTGGGAGCACTCCTGGCATTGAGGAGATGGGGTCAGGAATGCTCAACCTTCCAACGTGCCCAGGAATACCTCCCTACAGAGAGGCCCCAGTGCCTCTAGGTCTAGACCTGGAAGGGTGGTACTCCCCATAAATCAGGCCCCCGAGAGAAGTGGGTGTGGGCTAGGCCTTTATGAGGGGCACATGAGGGTGAGGCAGATCCTGACTGTTGCATTTCAGCTTTGCAGTTCTTCTCGAGTTTGCGGAGGAGCAGCTGCATGCTGACCATGTCTTCATTTGCTTCCACAAGAACCGTGATGACAGAGGTAGGTGACACCCCC